CCCCGAACTTGGCAGTCAATTTCCGGGAGTTTCGGGACAAAATAAATTGGACGGTGTCAATATTATCGTAGCCAGCGTTGAGATTGTCAGGAACAATGGAAAAATAGGAGTTTTTGACCGGGTGCGAATTTAGACTAGTAGACCCCCTCGCTATAGTTTGATTTAATTAATTCGGCCTTTGTCCCTTTTTATATGCGAGGCTTATTTTGGACCGATAGATCGCTTTCGATTTTGAATTTGGGTCATCGGATTGCATTTAATATTTGAATCGTGACCGTTAAATCGATATTTAGTTTGAACCGTGTCCGTTGATTCGCGCTCGAGGATAAATATTAACTTTTTCTCTCTCTTTCTCTCTCCTCTCTCCTCTACCGCGCCGCCCGTCCCCTCCCCCGCGCACGTTTCTCTCTCTCTCTCTCTCTCTCTCTCTCTCTCTCTCTCTCTTTTCCCCCTGCCGCGTGCACGTTCCCCATACACGTCCCTTCTCCCCCGCATGCCGACCAACTCCCCGACACCCCTCTCTCCTCTCTCCTCCTTTTCTCTCTTCTTCTTCTTCTTCTTCTTCTTCTTGGGGCGTCTGGTTCTGGTTCGTTTTCTGCTCGAGCCCGCCGGACGCCGCGCGATCGCCGACCGAGCTCGCCGTCCGTCCCGCCGCCTCACCGTCCGCCGGCCACCGCCCCAACCGACTGCTCTCTCTTTCTCTCTGTCCTCCGCCCCAACTCGCAGCCCGAGCTTGCCGTTCGTCCCACCGTCGCGAGCTCGGCTCGCCGGGCCGCCAAGAGCTCGCCGCCCTTCTTGCCCGGCGATGACGCAGCCGCGCCCCGCCGGCCGAGCCCCGCCACCCCCCGACTTCTTTCTCTCTCTCTCTGTCTCTCACCTTCGCCCCTCCCCACCTCAGCCGCCTTCTTCCCCTCCTCCCTTCTTGCTGTCCAGCTCGTCGCCGGTCGCGCCGCCGCCGCCGGCGCCGCCGCCGCCGCCGCCGGCCAGCCAGCCCCAGCCGTAGCCGGCTCGCCGCCCACGCGACCAAGCCGCGCGCCCGTCGCCGTGCCCGTGCCTCGTGCCCGTTGCTCGCGCCCGTGCCCGTTCCCGCGCCCGTGCCCGCGCCGTGCCCATGCGTGTGCCCGTGGCCGAGCCCGTGGCCGAGGGCTGTGCCCATGGCCGAGCACCGTGGCCGAGCCCCGCGCCCGTCGCGCCCTTGCCCGCGCCGAGTGAGACACTGTTCACTCGGGCCATTTTAGGCCCGAGCCGACTTTTACCGAGCCAAACTTAGGTAAGTGACTTCCTAAACCCTACCTAGTACTTTGGGTATTATTAGACTTGTCCATGGGGTAATTAGTACCGGTTTAGGGGCTTAACGTGGATTGTGGGCAATTTTTGTACGTGCTTAATTGATAGTTTAAATTGTGAGAAGTGTGGGGCTTAATTAATGACTAATTATGGTGGGCTAATTGATAATATTGTAGTGGCATTCATGGGTGGACTTGATGTTCGTATGTGGTAGGCATAAATGATGGATTTGTGGGCAAGTGTGATGGACTGTGATGTGAGTCTGATTTGTACGTGGGTATTTCATCGACTTGTCTCGGGTTTAGAACGGCTAGGGCGTGTTTCATCTAATTATATTATTTTATAATTTTGCTACTTGAATTTGATTAAATAATATGCTCGATTGGATAATTGCGTGTGGCCGACTTGAACGTCGGGTTTGTGGATTGAGGTGGCGAATTGTGAATTGGACTGAGTTGTGATTATGGGCTGTTGATGCAATTGGCGTGAAATTGATTTAATTGATTGGCGTGTGCTTGCCTGTCGATTTTAAGCCCGGATCGATCGGAGGGCTACGGACTTGGGACGTGTTGACGGCGGTCCGTGTGAAGGCTTGACTGGCCGGTGTGCCAAATGGAAAGACGGACTTGGGACGTGTTGACGGCGGCCATTGGAATTGATCGAATTGTGAGGCTCGTGTGCCTGTGAGAATGAATTTGAGGCGCAGTGGCGCGGGTAGTGAGAAAGATGTTCGGACACGCATGTGATTTGAGTGTGATTGAATTGGCTGGTTGAGCGTGTGACTGAATTGGCTGGTTGAGCGTGTGACTGATTTGGCTGGTTGAGCGTGTGACTGAATTGGCTGGTTGAGCGTGTGACTGATTTGGCTGGTTGAGCGTGTGATTTAATTGACCAGTTGAACGTGTGGTTGCTTGGCTGGGCTTGTTGAATGCGAGTGAAATTGCGTGTGCCGAGTGACCGTGATATGATGATGAACTATTCTTGCATTATCTTGTTTGGACTGATATGCAGGGTTGGCTCGTGATTCGAGACGAGGTAAGCTGGTTGTATGAAATTGATTATGTTGTCTGGTGATCGTATGTTAGACTTGTCTGGGTACGCATTGGCCTACGTGGGGTATAGGGGGCTGCTTATTGAGACTCGTTCTCACGGTTATTATATAACCATTTCAGATCCGCGACCGTAAGTGATGGGAGACGCTGCAAGGGTGTCTCGGAGATCAAGGACGGGTCGAGTGTCCCGTATTTTGAGTCTCCCCTTTTGTAGAGGAGTTAAGTTCGCGAACCATTGTCCCTTTTGAGGAGCATTGTATGTATTTGCCAAGTGTAGGAACTACAGTTATTGTTTTGTGCTATTATTACCCCCTTGTCATTATTAATTGTCCGGGTTGTTTTTATTTGCTTCCGCGCGTGCCTAATCTCTGATGTTTGGGTTGGGTCGGCGACGCGTCCTGGGACGTCGCGTTCAATGATCGACCATCGCGGGATGATCGCGCGCTCGTAGGGTGCGGGGCGTGACAGTCTTAGTCGATTTTATTTCCTCACATGCATCTAAATGTTCAAGCACTTATGGTAATAGATCAAACGCTCAAAACAATGTAAGTAAAGCAATGAAGAAAAAAGTAAAGCAATTAATAAATTAAATAGCAAATAGAAACAACAAATAATAACACAAGCTGTCTCGGGCCACCATTACACATAATCTTGTTACCACCCGAGACAAGATTTCTTTTACACTAAAATCCGAGCAACTAAGAGTCGTTCGCCGTAGCGTTCTTCTTATGTTGCTTTTATGCATATATTGCTCCTTTAGAATATGTCAAGGCTCTATAACTTCGATTCATCTCTTGGCAAGGTTTTACGTATGAGAAATCATCGCAGAAGGTTTGAAAACTATGCTAAGTCATTTAACCGTCTGACTGATCAATTAAAGTCCCATGCAACTTTGAAAATGATTTTCGAAATCTAAAAGTGGGCTTGTCCAAAAACAGTCTAAGAGTCCGTTTGTTTAAAGGAAAACTATTTTTGAAAATTTGTTTTCCAACTTTTCAGTATTTGGATGACGGAAAACATTTTCTATGGACTAAAAATAACAAACTTAGATCGAAGAAAAACAACTTCTCCTTCTGGCAAGAAGGAAACCACTTTCCCTAAACTACTAAACAAATGAAAACTAACAATTTTCCTTGAACATGAGTTTCATAGATATTATTTTCCTTTATAATGAATTTTTCAGTGAAACAAACGCACCCTAAATGTGATTTCAAAAGTTTTAGGACAACGAGACTCACATCTAACGTGATGCAAAGTGGTTCTGCGCAATTTTAAGCTTTTTCATTGGTAAGTTCATTGAATTTAGAAAGCTAAAGGGCCTTACTGCGCAATTTGGATGACTCTTTTTGGAAGATGAGCCTTACATCTCATTGGAAGTGGGGAGACCCAATGTTATTTTGAGATTTTCCTTAAATGGGCACTATGTTTGTTGTTAAGGTCCAACGCGGCTTACAAAACACATAAGAAATTGGGCTTTACCAATCTAACGAGGTGCATCCTAGCCCTCGCCCTCGCCGGTGGTCGGCAACTGGCGGAGGGTAATAAGAAAAAAGGAAAAAAAAAAGAGAAAAAAATAAAAAAAGGAAAAAAAAATAAAAAATAAAAAAAAGAAAAAAAGAAAAGAAAAATTAGTAAAAAATTCAAAAAAAGTATTTAAAAATTAAAGAAAATATCCACGTCAGCACCGGCCGTGTCATGTAGAACGGCCGGCGTCTACGTTAGCAATTTTAGACCTAAATTGATCAGATGGACTGAATCAGTACCAATCTGAAAATATTTAGGATAAAATTTATCTAATTGAAAGGTTTATAACTGAATTGGTACCCATGTAATAAGTTTATGATTTTTTTTTGTACTTTTCCCTCAGAAAGTGCAATAAATTAGTATACAATTTCATCATAGTTCTAACTAGTTATACCAGTAAAAAGGGTGTTTGTGCATGGCACGGGTCCTCAAAGTAATGATAAATATCGGCTGATATTTGAGAGGACTAAGAAACTTTTCTAGGTCAACCTTCCTTCTAATCCTCAATAGATAATAATCTCAAGCGGACCGCATTTTCCCAAGAGCAGTGCAAGGGAAAGGTACAAATCTCATGTCTACCCGCCAGACAAAAACGGGCAAAGGACGACTTTGTCACTTCTTCTAAAAAATGTCATTTTTCTTAGTGAATTTTCTACGATACATAGTGGGACGAAGTCTAGTCTTGCTTGTGAATTCCGCCTTCTTTTGTTAAAACATGAAACGGCGACGACTTGTGAAGTCGTCCCCCATGTTGATACGGAGGCCGTGTTCTCACTTCTTATTTTGTTTATGTATTTTGTATGGATAGTGCAACTCCGAGAACCTACCTTGAAATTGACCCGATGACGAGGGCGTTCTCATACTTTGAATATAAGCAAGAAAATATTCAGAAAAGGATTTTGTTGAAAAGTTCCTCAAGAGTACTCATTGGCTAACCAACTATGAAACTTGTAGATTCGAATAACTGATTTTTCTTGTGTTGAATGCAATGAATACTTTGAGAATTGAAAATTTTCTCTATTTTGTGAAACATTCAAGCCTCGAGAACGTTTGAATTTTAAGTGAAAATGAAAGCAATATGAACATCAGCCGCCCTTATATTCAGGTAAGTTTTCAGGAAAGACCAGCTCACTCTCTCCTACGGTCGTAATTGATGACTTGGTCTTCCAATCTGCTCCCTGGCTTGGCTGCCGCTGAGGCATCGGCATCAGCGAAAGTAGGATTATAAAAACCGGTGAGAGGAGAGCCCAGAGCAAGCACACATTGGAGAAACATAAAGATGAAAGCAGCTGTGTTGTGTTTTCTTCCAATGGCCTTGGCCTTGGCAACTTTTACCGAGAAGGACAACTGCGTTCGAACGTGCGGCAACGTGAGCGTGCCTTTCCCATTCGGGCTCGACGAAAGTTGCGCGCGGAACTCCAAACTCGTCCTCACCTGCAACCACACATCGGGGGACCTGTCCCTCGGCGAGAACGTTCCATTGTTCAACATATTCGTGGAGAATGGGACAATGAACATTGGCGTGTACAGAGCTTTAGACTGCTATAACGAGGCTGGCGGTCGGCTTGACGGCTCTAACCCTTACGCATGGATCCGAGTGGGTGAAGACGGGCACTATACATTCTCGGACACCCGGAACAAGCTCACTGTCTTGGGTTGCGACACTGAGGCTCTTATCTCGGACACCGCCGGGACTTTCGGGAGTGGATGCTTGTCCTATTGCCGCGAGGACGTCGACTTCACGGCCAAGAGCGCTTGCTCCGGCCTCGGGTGCTGTCAAACGTCGATCCCCAAGAGCCTCAGGAGCCTCTCTATTGCCATGAGCAGCTCGACGAATTACACCTCAGTTCGGAACTTCAGCTCTTGTGGATCAGCGTTCGTAGTGGACCAGGAGTCATTTAAAATCTCCGATTACAAGCGTCCTGTCCCGGATGAAATGGGCAAATACAATTTCTCAAGGGTTGTCGTGGATTGGGTAGTTGAACGGAATTTGACCTGTGAGGAAGCGCAATCCAACCGATCGAGCTATGCCTGCGGCGCCAATAGTAACTGCTCTGACTTCGAAAACGGGAATGGTTATCGTTGCTTCTGTCAGGCTGGGTACACGGGGAATCCCTATGCCTCCCCACTGTACTCACTCCCAGGATGTCAAGGTATTGTTCTGTTCTCTTTGCGAGGCAAAAGTTACATGTTTAGATTGGACCATAATTTCCTCGATCCAACCTCCTCAAACAAGTTTTTCATTCAGTTGAGTTAGATTCTTCAATACAACCAATATATAATTTTAAGAATAAAAAAAAAACACATAAATGTACATTACAGTTTACGGCTGATTCTGTTTAATATAGACATCGATGAGTGCAAGGATCATCAACAATATCCATGTCGTGGAAATTGCAAGAATACACCCGGGAACTACACATGCAACTGCCCATTTGGCATGACTGGTGATGGCAAAGTCGGTTGCCAAACTTCTAGTCTTGCCATAATTGCTGCAGGTAATTCTAATTCCCTTGTGATGGTGGGTCAATAGTCTAAGCTATTCTTGCTGTAGACTACGAGTCCACATGCTATGGATCCGACTTATGTTTAAGTTGTTCTGAAATTGTATCTTGACTCTGCATTGCGACTGAGAGATCACTGGTCACCACCACCCACTGCGCATGCCTCTGCCAGCCACCGCTAGCTAGCCGCCTTCAGCCATTGTCAGTGTTGCCGCCTCCACATTACAGCCTCTCTCTCTCATTTCTGCTGAAACCATTACAGGTTCGATTCGAGACTGACGCCTCGGATTGGGACCTTCAACCTCTGATCTAAGGGTCAAGGTTGATCAATTATGAGATCCAAGGATGTCGACCTTGACATGTGACTACTGTAGAGAGAAAGAGAGAGAGAGAGAGAGAATAAGGGGTTTGTGGGGCTTTGATGACCATGGTGGCCCTCATCTTGGCTCCATGGTGGCTTCGACGGGCATTTGACGGCCAATGGCTAAGGTGGTGGTGGGCTACGGTGTTCCAATGGGTGGACAGAGAGGGAGAGCAAAAGTTGTAATTGGGATTTGATTGGTCCGTTCGTGCGTGTTTATATGTGATTTTTTGGAAAATGGAAGTGCATTTCAATAAAGTTGGGGGCATATTTTTGGTATTGTTTTATCCGGGTCCTCTATTGGTGGCTGATGTGTCAAGTATTTAAAGGCGTAAATGTAATATCAAAATTTAGTTCTTAAATTTAGAAGGTCCAAATTCATTATGTATCAAAGTAAATCAATGGCTTGGAAGAGAAGCTAATCCATCCAATTCCCAATTTTTGTGGCAGCCATTGTAGCGGCAACGTCGTGCATAATTGTTTGTGGCCTAGTCTTGTTCATATGCAAGAGGAGAGCTAAAGAGAGATACTTTAGGCAAAATGGAGGAGAGATCTTGAAGCACCAGAGAGTGAAAATCTTCACTGAGGCAGAGTTGGCTAAAGCCACCGACGACTACGATGCTGGCAACAAGCTCGGTGAGGGTGGTTTTGCTTCAGTCTACAAAGGAAGAATCGATGGCAACATTTTAGTTGCGATCAAGAAGCCCAGAGATGTCCCTATCGGGAAGCCGAAAGACATGAACAAGGACATGTCTCTGAGCACTCACGATGAATTCCTGCACGAAATCGGCATCATATCACAAGTAAATCACAAAAACTTGGTCAAGCTCCTGGGCATATGTTTGGAGACAAAAGTGCCATTGTTGGTCTATGAATTCATCCCGAATGGGACTCTCTATCACCACATTCATGACAAGAGATCGACTGTTCTGCGATCGTGGAAGAATTGCCTCAGGATTGCCTCGGAAGCTGCCTTGGCCCTTGAGTACTTGCATTCCCTGGCTGACCCGCCGGTCATTCATAGTGATGTCAAATCTCTGAATATACTTTTGGATGAGAAATACTCGGCGAAAGTGTCCGATTTCGGAGCCTCGGTTTTGATTTCACCTGGAAAGACTCATGTAGTTGAAAGAATACAAGGCACAATTGGTTACCTCGACCCTGAGTATCTCATCACTAGTGAATTAACCACGAAGAGCGATGTTTATAGTTTCGGGGTTGTCCTTGCGGAGCTCCTCATTGGAGAGACGCCGAATCGGCGGGCAAAATCTGGGGAAAAAATCAACATCTTCCATTCTTTCATCTCCGCCGTGGAGAACCGGACACTCCTCCATATGATAAATTTCGAGGCATCCAATGAAGGTGAACTATGGGAGATCGAGGCGGTCGGTTTGCTCGCTAGAAGGTGCTTAAACTATAATGGCGTGAAAAGGCCAACAATGAGGGAAGTGGCCGAGCAACTGGCTAGGATCAACAAGAACTTGTGGGCCGATCAACAGAACGACGAAGAGGCTCAGAGTTTACTCGATGAGAGGAGATGTGACTCTCTCTGGACTTCAATCAGTGAGGTGAACAAACCGGAGTCGACTGATCTTTTGGTTTTTGACATCGAAACAGCCACTACTAGTTCTAGCGTCTGATTGGTGATTTATAGTTCGTAGCTATACACGAGAAACAAGTCCGATGGTCGTATGTTGATCCTGATCTTTTGAGTAAGGTTTTGCTTTTCCTACAGCTGATTAATTTTCGATTTTGAAGTTTTAAGTAGGGGTGATTCTAGGGATTATACATGATTGTACTCGCTTCAGTTCTAGCTATAGTTCGCAAAGCTCTGAACAAATACCTATTTTATTTAATAAATACGGAAAACTGCTCCGTAGAATAATCTATTCGAACAATTCCATGGGAAATTGCTTTTTAGAATTGCAGTTTCACATAGACATTCTTTCCCAAATAAAGCACGAACGCAATTTCCTACTCCTTGTCATTGAATCGGGATTTTTTTGACTTTTTTGTCTCCATAACGAAACAATGCCGCTTCATAGAAAAGCAAGAGCTGCAGGAGTGCAAGAATGACAAACTCTACTCACAAAACAAAATATCCGCTTTTGAGAAATTCCATCCCGACCAATTGCACGATAACGTCACAACTTTTAGAGGTCGTTTGATTCCATGACAAGAAATTCACAGAGAGATTCTCACTTTATATGTAATATAATCTCATTCCTTGGAAACATATCTTTAATTATATGGATTGCAAAAAGTTTTGGCCATAATAATAAAGATTTCTGCCCACCTGCGGCAGTGGAGACGTATGTCAGTGGCGACAGTGGCTGAGGGTGGCAAGAGGCGATGACCAGCGGTGGCGGCAATAGTGATTGAGTTGAGTTTTTGATAATTTTGTGGTGTCACAAATGTGGAATGGGAATCTAAATAGTAAATACTAACTATTTCTAAGTAATCCAATTCCACACTTTTCAAGAAACCTATTCCATATAGAATCTAATTCCACTTCTTTTTTCTTTTTTGCTAAGCGAAAAGGATGAGAAAGGGTGATCAACATTGACAACCCCGTTGGGATTTAGCATACGATATTCACATATGTAACGGAATGTTCGTTTTGAGCTACAACTATTGATCATTTTCAACAAGCCCGTCACCGCCGCCTACCACGGTACTAGTGGGAGTAAACCTTACTCCGTTAGGTTTCGATTGACTAATCAAAGAAAAGTAAAATATTAAAAAAATTAAAGAATAGTAATTCCGAAAAGTGTTTTCACTTTTTTAGATTTAGGGATTCACTTTCCTAATTTTATGCATGAATAGTTTACTTGACCGGAAAATGCTTTCAATTGACTAATCATTTTCAGAAAACCAAATGGGTGAAAATTTGGAAAACTAATTCCGAGAAAACACTTTTCCTTAAACAAATGCACCCTAAAAGAGAAAGAAAAGAAATAGAGAAAGATGGATGGAGAATGGGCAGGTCACGTTGCCTGGAAAATGGGAATGAGAGACGAAGGTCGTAAGCGGTGACTCACGCAACAAACGCTGCTCATCTTTTCGCCAACCGCGAGTTCAATCCAATCGGATAAAACTCTCCAATTTGCAACATTGGCTTAGTGTTCAAGTAAATTTACCCGATTTTTTATTAGCTAGTATTTGGGTCACATGCGTTGCGCATGGTTTGGTGATATTAACAAGTTCATACAAAAATGATAATATGGATGGCAACCTTGCTCTTAACTTTTGGATCATCGTTAAGTTTGCGGGTAATCCCGTATTGAATATATAATCTCCACGGTAACAAAAAAGAAATGCTTTAATAACTACAAAGTAACTAACAGTTATTATAACTTAGACATTGAAGGGTATAACTTACAAATACATAGAATGACATACATAAAACGTCTGCTCGGCAAATAGAAAGGTCATGAAAACATAGATTTGTCTTTGGAGTCAGTGTCGACAAAAAATGGAAGGAATAAAAGCATTTGGTATGCGTTCGCCTTCCTTATAATAAAACTCCTTGCGCCACTCTTCTTCGTATCTCGCAACTATCTTCGTTGACTTTGTCGATTCTTTGTGATTACTTTAGAGGATACCTGTGGAGAGGGTTCCTTGACAATTACAACAAGTTTGAAACACTTCAAATATTAGAGGCACTTAAAAGTATTGGAAACACTGCTAAAAAATTTGACAGCAGGCGACGGGAAAAAGCCGTCCTAAAAGCCCAAAAGCCCGTCGCTAATCAATTAGCGAAGGCATGGTGTCCATCAACCGTTGTCGACTGTACACTCGCCGCCAAAAACAATTGGGGACAACGGTTTACAGAGGAAGAATCGATGGCGACGTTTTAGTAGCGGTCACATCCCTATCAAGAAGCCGAAATACATGAACAGTGACGGGTCTCTGAGTACTCACAATGAATAACGGCATGAAATCAGCATTATTTCACAGGTGAATCACAAGAACTTGGTCAAGCTCCTGGGCATATGCTTGGAGACAAAAGTGCCATTGTTGGTCTATGAATTCATCCCGAATGGAACTCTCCATCACCGCATTCATGACAAGAGATCCACGGTCTTACGATCATCGAAGAATCGCCTCAGGATTGCCTCAAAAGCCGCCTTGGCCCTCGAGTACTTGCATTCCGTGGCCGACCCGCCAATCATTCACAGCAATGTCAAGACCCTGAATATACTTTTGGATGAGAAGTACTCCGCGAAAGTATTTGATTTCGACGCCTTGGTGTTGATTTCGCCCGAACAGATTCACATAGCCGAAAGAGTACAAGGCACCATAGGTTACGTTGACCCTGAGTATCTCAGCACCGGTGAATTAACCATGAAGAGCGACGTTTACAGCTTTGGGTCGTCCTAGTGGAGCTCCTCACCGGAGAGACTCCAATTCGGCAGACAAAATCTGGGGAAACTATCAACATTGTCCAATTTTTCATCTCTGCTGTGGAGAACCAAACACTCGTCCATATAATAAATATTGAGGCGTCCAATGAAGGTGAAATGCGGGGGATCAAGGCAGTTGGTTTGCTCACTAGAAGGTGCTTAAACTATAATGGTGTGGATAGGCCAACAATGAGGGAAGTGGCCGAACAACTTGCTAGGATCAACAAGAACTTGTGGCCCGATGAACACAACGATGAAGAGACTCAAAGTTTACTCGACAAGATGAGATCTAATTCTCTATGGACTTCATCAGTGAAATGAACAAACCGAGCTTGACCTACCAGTCCATACTTGACATCGAAGCAGCCACTACTAGTTCCAGCGTCTAATTAGGCTACGTTTAGTAGTTGGGATAAAATTCAGGATATGATGTATTTTGTCCCATCCCATGTTTGGTGCTTGTTCAAAACATGATAAAGTCGGATATAAGAGGGATATAACCCGGATAAAATTATCCCTTGGGGGAGGTGGGATAAGGGTGGATATGATTTCTAATGTCCATAATATAAAAGTTATTTTTCTCGAATAACAAACTTGTTACATTAATAAAATTAAAATAATATTTGAATATAAATAATATTTAAAATTTAATATAAAAAATTCAAAATAACAAAAAAATAAATAATTTCAATTTTATTTATTCTTATTTTCAATTTTCTTTCTATCTTATGATATGAATTTCATATACATTAATAAATGCATTTAGTATTTATATTTATTAAATATTTTAGGTATATTAGTATAGTTTACTATTTGATAAATTTTTGTTAGAGAATGATGGAAGGGGAAAAAGAAATAAAAAATTAATTAATTAAAAAAGAGATGGAAAAATAATAAACAAATAAACAAATAAACAAATAAACAAATAAAAATGAAGTAGGTAAGAGTATCGTGATAGATTTTTATCATCTCCGTTTGTGCAATTTTTAAGTTTATTTACACTAATATGATGTTCATAGCAAATAATGGACATTGTAAGATGTGAAAATCTCCGGCTTTATTACTACGATTCACCAAATAATAGATAGGATGTAGCAAATCCCTTGGATTTTATATCATATCCTATCCAGTCCTATCCTGGCTAGAAATCCTCACGACCAAACGCAGCCTTAGTGGTTTTCAGTGCGTGGCTATATACACCAATGGTCGTATGCTTTTATCCTGATCTTTTGATAGCGGCTCTGTTTTTCTTACAGCTGATTGATTACCGATTTGGAAGTCCTATAAGAGGATGACTCAATTTAAATTAAGTACGGGGAAGCAATAGTTTGCAAAGCTCTGACGAATACCCAATTTATCTAATAAATGAATAATCATGGAAAGATTGCTGCGTTGAATATCTATTCGAACAATTCTATTGGGAATTACTTTTTGGAAATGCAGTTTCGGTTTCTTTCCCAAATAAAGCACGAAGGCAATTTCCTACCTTTTGGCATTGCATCGCACTTTTTTTTGTCACTATAGCGAGAAGTGCCGCTTCATAGAAAAGCAAGAGCTGCAAGAGTGCATGAATGACAAACTCTACGCAACGAAATAAGATATCCCGGTTTCGAGAATTTCCATCCTGACCAATTGCACGATAACATGGAAATTTTTATAAGTAGTTTGGTTCCGTGACCCAGCCATGAGGAAGAACACCAGAGATTTTAAGAATTGTACGATATATGTTTAAGAAAACAGTGCGTGCGAGACTGAATGAAATGCCATTGATGGTGATAAGTCCATAGGAGTTTTGTTTCGTATTTGGTTACGATGTTTGTGGATAAGGACACTAGGAGTGCCATAACTTTCGTACGGCGCTCACTTGAGTGCCGTAACTTTTTTTTCGCTCACTTGAGTGCCAAAAATTTGAAAAAGTGATCACTTGAGTGCTATCGGCCATTTGGCAGCCAGAAAATCTGACGTGGACACCGGTCGTCCTACATGGCTTTGCCAGAGCTGTCGTAGACAATATTTTAATATTTTTTGAATTTTTTTATTAATTTATTATTATTATTTTTTTGCAATTTTTTTTTCAATGCCGGCGAGGTTCACTGGTGACCCTCGTCGGCTATGAAGGCCTCGCCTAGATTGGGCGAGGGCAGCCTTGCCCTTGGCCGCGAAGGCCTTGGGCGAGGATGCGAAGGCCGTCACCAGATCTAGGCGGCTGCAGGCGAGGCGGCCTCTCTAGATCT